CAGCCCCATGGCGCTAGGGGGCGGTATGGGGAGCTATGGGGCAGCCCCATGGCGCTAGGGGGCGGTATGGGGAGCTATGGGGTGCTATGGGGCAGCCCCATGGCGCTATGGAGCGGTATGGGGAACTATGGGGCGGTATGGGGTGCTATGGGGCAGCCCCATGGCGCTATGAAGCGGTATGGGGAACTATGGGGCGGTATGGGGTGCTATGGGGCAGCCCCATGGCGCTATGGAGCGGTATGGGGAACTATGGGGCTGTATGGGGTGCTATGGGGCTGTATGGGGTGCTATGGGGCGGTATGGGGTGCTATGGAGCGGTATGGGGCACTGTGGGGCTGTATGGGGTGCTATGGGGCAGCCCCATGGCGCTATGGAGCGGTATGGGGCACTATGGGGCTGTATGGGGAGGTATGAGGCACTATGGGGCAGCCCCATGGCACTATAGGGCACTATGGGGCGCTATGGGGTAGCCCCATGGCACTATGGAGCGGTATGGGGAGGTATGGGGCACTATGGGGGGCTATGGGGCAAGATGCTGGTGCTATGGTGCTATGGGGTTGTATGGGGCGCTGTGGGGCGCTATAGGGCACTATGGGGCTGTATGGGGAGGTATGAGGCACTATGGGGCAGCCCCATGGCACTATGGGGAACTATGGGGCACTATGGGGCTGTATGGGGGGGTATGGGGCACTATGAGGCAGCCCCATGGCACTATGGGGTGCTATGGGGAACTATGGGGCGCTATAGGGCTGTATGGGGAGGTATGGGGCACTATGGGGCAGCCCCATGGCACTATGGGGAGCTATGGGGCAAGGTGCTGGCGCTATGGTGCTATGGGGTTGCATGGGGCGCTATGGGGCGCTATAGGGCGCTGTGAGGGGAGGTGTTAATGCTATGGGGCAGTATGGGGCGGTATGGGGCTGTATGGGGCGCTATGGGGTGAGGCGCTGGTGCTGTGGCGCTACGGAGCGCTATAGGGCACTATGGGGCGAAGCGCTGGTGCTAGGGTGCTATGGGGTGGTATGGGGTGGTATGGGGCGCTATGGGGCGCTATGGGGTGAGGTGCATGGGGCTATGGGGTGACCCCTGCAGGCTTCGATGAGTATTTCACGTCCCGCTCGCTGGAGAACAACCGCCGCAACCTCTGGTTCCACGAGTTCTGGGAGGAGGATTTCAACTGCCGCCTGCCCCATAGCGAGCCCCAGAGCGAGCCCCACGGCGGGCCCGTCCGCAAGTGCACAGGTAAAGCGCTGCCTGCCCCACAGGGTGCCCCATAGCGTGCGGCCTGCCCCATAGCGCCCTGCCTGCCCTATAGAGCCCTGCTTGCCCCATAGAGTCCTGCCTGCCCCATAGCTCCCTGCCTGCCCCATAGCACCCTGGGGCAGCAGCTGTGGGTCTGACCCCCAAGTGTGGGTCAGGGCAGCGCTGTGGATCTGACCCCCAAGTGTGGGGCAGGGCAGCACTATGGGTCTGACCCCCAAGTGTGGGGCAGGGAGGTGCTATAGGTGTGACCTCCCAAGTGTGGGGCAGGGCAGCGCTGTGGGTCTGACCCCCAAGTGTGGGTCAGGGCAGCGCTGTGGGTGTGACCCCCAAGTGTGGGTCAGGGCAGCGCTGTGGGTGTGACCCCCAAGTGTGGGTCGGGGCAGCGCTGTGGGTGTGACCCCCAAGTGTGTGTCGGTGCAGCGCTGTGGGTCTGACCCCCAAGTGTGGGTCAGCGCAGCGCTGTGGGTCTGACCCCCAAGTGTGGGTCAGGGCAGCGCTGTGGGTCTGACCCCCAAGTGTGGGTCAGGGCAGCGCTGTGGGTCTGACCCCCAAGTGTGGGTCGGCGCAGCGCTGTGGGTCTGACCCCCAAGTGCGGGTCAGGGCAGCGCTGTGGGTCTGACCCCCAAGTGTGGGTCGGGGCAGCGCTGTGGGTCTGACCCCCAAGTGCGGGTCAGGGCAGCGCTGTGGGTCTGACCCCCAAGTGTGGGTCAGGGCAGCGCTGTGGGTCTGACCCCCAAGTGTGGGTCAGCGCAGCGCTGTGGGTCTGACCCCCAAGTGCGGGTCAGGGCAGCGCTGTGGGTGTGACCCCCAAGTGTGGGTCAGCGCAGCGCTGTGGGTCTGACCCCCAAGTGTGGGTCAGGGCAGCGCTGTGGGTCTGACCCCCAAGTGTGGGTCAGGGCAGCGCTGTGGGTCTGACCCCCAAGTGTGGGTCGGGGCAGCGCTGTGGGTCTGACCCCCAAGTGTGGTTCAGGGCAGCACTATGGGTCTGACCCCCAAGTGTGGGTCGGGGCAGCGCTGTGGGTCTGACCCCCAAGTGTGGGTCAGGGCAGCGCTGTGGGTCTGACCCCCAAGTGCGGGTCAGCGCAGCGCTGTGGGTCTGACCCCCAAGTGTGGGTCGGGGCAGCGCTGTGGGTCTGACCCCCAAGTGCGGGTCAGGGCAGCGCTGTGGGTCTGACCCCCAAGTGTGGGTCGGGGCAGCGCTGTGGGTCTGACCCCCAAGTGTGGGTCAGCGCAGCGCTGTGGGTCTGACCCCCAAGTGTGGGTCAGGGCAGCGCTGTGGGTCTGACCCCCAAGTGTGGGTCAGGGCAGCGCTGTGGGTCTGACCCCCAAGTGTGGGTCAGCGCAGCGCTGTGGGTCTGACCCCCAAGTGCGGGTCAGGGCAGCGCTGTGGGTGTGACCCCCAAGTGTGGGTCAGCGCAGCGCTGTGGGTCTGACCCCCAAGTGTGGGTCAGGGCAGCGCTGTGGGTCTGACCCCCAAGTGTGGGTCAGGGCAGCGCTGTGGGTCTGACCCCCAAGTGTGGGTCGGGGCAGCGCTGTGGGTCTGACCCCCAAGTGTGGTTCAGGGCAGCACTATGGGTCTGACCCCCAAGTGTGGGTCGGGGCAGCGCTGTGGGTCTGACCCCCAAGTGTGGGTCAGGGCAGCGCTGTGGGTCTGACCCCCAAGTGCGGGTCAGCGCAGCGCTGTGGGTCTGACCCCCAAGTGTGGGTCGGGGCAGCGCTGTGGGTCTGACCCCCAAGTGTGGGTCAGGGCAGCGCTGTGGGTCTGACCCCCAAGTGTGGGTCGGCGCAGCGCTGTGGGTCTGACCCCCAAGTGCGGGTCAGCGCAGTGCTGTGGGTCTGACCCCCAAGTGTGGGGCAGGGCAGCGCTGTGGGTCTGACCCCCAAGTGTGGGGCAGGGCAGCGCTGTGGGTCTGACCCCCAAGTGTGGGTCGGGGCAGCGCTGTGGGTCTGACCCCCAAGTGCGGGTCAGGGCAGCGCTGTGGGTGTGACCCCCAAGTGTGGGTCGGGGCAGCGCTGTGGGTGTGACCCCCAAGTGTGGGTCAGCGCAGTGCTGTGGGTCTGACCCCCAAGTGTGGGTCAGGGCAGCGCTGTGGGTCTGACCCCCAAGTGTGGGTCAGGGAGGTGCTATAGGTGTGACCTCCCAAGTGTGGGGCAGGGCAGCGCTGTGGGTGTGACCCCCAAGTGTGGGTCAGGGCAGCGCTGTGGGTGTGACCCCCAAGTGTGGGTCGGGGCAGCGCTGTGGGTGTGACCCCCAAGTGTGGGTCGGGGCAGCGCTGTGGGTCTGACCCCCAAGTGTGTGTCGGTGCAGCGCTGTGGGTCTGACCCCCAAGTGTGGGTCAGGGCAGCGCTGTGGGTCTGACCCCCAAGTGCGGGTCAGCGCAGCGCTGTGGGTCTGACCCCCAAGTGTGGGTCAGGGCAGCGCTGTGGGTGTGACCCCCAAGTGTGGGTCAGGGCAGCGCTGTGGGTCTGACCCCCAAGTGTGGGTCAGGGCAGCGCTGTGGGTCTGACCCCCAAGTGTGGGTCAGGGCGGGAGCGCATCGGCCGGGACTCGCCCTACGAGCAGGAGGGGAAGGTGCAGTTCGTCATCGACGCGGTGCTGGCCATGGCGCGGGCCCTGCACAGCCTCGCGGCCGAGCTCTGCCCCGGGGGGGGGCTCTGCCCCCGCATGGACCCCCCCGACGGGCGCCGCCTCCTGCAGCACATCCGGGGGGTGAACTTCAGCGGTGAGGGGGGGAGGGGATGGGGGGGGGTGGGGGGGGGATGGGATGGGGATGGGGATGGGGATGGGAATGGGATGGGGATGGAATGGGATGGGAATGGGATGGGATGGGAATGGGATGGGATGGGATGGGAATGGGATGGGGATGGAATGGGATGGGAATGGGATGGGATGGGGATGGGATGGGAGTGGGATGGGGATGGGAATGGAATGGGATGGGATGGGGATGGGATGGGATGGGATGGGAATGGGATGGGGATGGAATGGGATGGGAATGGGGATGGGGATGGGAATGGAATGGGATGGGATGGGATGGGGATGGGATGGGATGGGATGGGAATGGGATGGGGATGGAATGGGATGGGAATGGGATGGGATGGGAATGGGATGGGAATGGGGATGGGGATGGGAATGGGATGGGATGGGATGGGGATGGGATGGGGATGGAATGGGATGGGAATGGGATGGGAATGGGATGGGGATGGGATGGGGATGGGATGGGGGCAATGGGAGGGACTGGGAGGGGCCTGGGGGGTACTGGGACAGACTGGGAAGGGAATGGGAGGGGATGGGAATGGACTGGGATTGACTGGGAAAGGGTGGGATGGGAATGGGTTAGGATAGACTGGGAAGGGATGGGAATGGACTGGGATTGGCTGGGAAGGGATGGGATAGGATGAGGATGGACTGGGAAGAGATGGGAATGGACTGGGAAGGAATGGGAGGGAATGGGATAGACTGGGAGGCACTAGAAAGGTGTTGGGGGGCACTGGGAGGGACTGGGATGGGATGGGAGGGGAATGGGATGGACTGGAAGAGACTGGGAAGGCACTGAGATGGGATGGGCAGAGACTAGAAGGGACTGGGATGGACTGGGAAGGGGACGGGAGGGGAATAGGAGGGGATGGGATGGACTGGGATGGGCTAGGAGGGGAATGGGTGGACTGGAGACCATAGTGGGGGGGCACTGGGGTAGACTGGGAGGCACTGGAGACCACACTGGGAAGGTCCTCAGTGGGTCCTTACTGGGTGTTCCTGGGCCTGGATTGGTCCATACTGGTCCATACTGGTCCGTACTGGTCCATACTGGTTTGTACTGGTCCGTACTGGTCCGTACTGGTCCATACTGGTTTGTACTGGTCCATACTGGTTTGTACTGGTCCGTACTGGTGCAGGCAGTGCAGGGACCCCCGTGAGCTTCAATGAGAACGGCGATGCTCCGGGCAGATACGACATCTTCCAGTTCCAGGGCGCCAACGGCAGCGGCAGCTACCGGGCCGTGGGGCAGTGGGTGCAGGGCCTGCACCTGCAGGTGGGTGCTGCCCCCCCCCCCATCCAATGGGTGCCCCATGGGCAACTGGTGGGATCTCAGGGGTCAATTGGGTGCCTCTATGGTCACCTGGATGGACCTCAATGGTCAACTGGTTGGATCTCAATGACCAGTTGGATGCCCCCATGGTCAATTGGGTGCTCCTGTGGTCAACTGTTGGGATTTCAATGGTCAACCAGTTGGATCTCAATGATCAGTTGGGTGCCCTATGGTCAACTGGTTGGATCTCAATGACCAGTTGGATGCCCCGATGGTCAATTGGGTGTCCCATGGTCAACTGGTGGGATCTTAATGATCAATTGGGTACCCCTGTGGTCAACCGGTTGGATCTCAATGGTCAACCAGTTGGATCTCAATGATCACTTGGGTGCCCTGTAGTCAACTGGTGGGATCTCAATGGTCAACCAGTTGGATCTCAATGATCACTTGGGTGCCCTGTGGTCAACTGGTGGGATCTCAATGGTCAACCAGTTGGATCTCAATGATCACTTGGGTGCCCTGTGGTCAACTGGTGGGCTCTCAATGGTCAACCAGTTGGATCTCAATGATCACTTGGGTGCCCTGTGGTCAACTGGTGAGCTCTCAATGGTCAACCAGTTGGATCCCAATGACCGTTTGGATGCCCCCATGGTCAACTGGTGGGACCTCAATGACCAACCGGACACCCTATGTCCAACTCCCACCCCCTCCCCACTGTTGGATGTCTGCTGCCCCCTCACCTGCCTCCCCCCCCCCCCTTCCCCCCCAGGTGGATGCCATGATGTGGGGCTCCAACCGCTCGGTGCCCCCCTCGGTCTGCAGCCTCCCCTGTGGTCCTGGTGAGAAGAAGACCCCGGTGAAGGGGGTCCCATGCTGTTGGCACTGCGAGCTCTGCTCCGGCTACCGCTTCCTGGCCGACCCCCAGAGCTGCCAGGCCTGCCCCTCCCACCTGCGCCCCACAACCAACCACACCTCCTGCCGCCCCACGCCCGTCCTGCGCCTGCGCTGGGGGGACCCTTGTGCCGCCGTCCCCTTGGCTTTGGCCACCTTGGGCTTGCTGGCGACCGCCTTCGTCTTGCTCACCTTCATCAAGCACCACGAGACGCCCATCGTGAAGGCGTCGGGGCGGGAGCTCAGCTACGTCCTGCTGGTGGGCATCGCTTTGGTCTACGCCATCACCTTCCTCATGGTGGCCGAGCCGGGGGTGGGCGTCTGCGCCATGAGGAGGCTCTTCTTGGGCTTAGGGATGAGCCTCAGCTACGCCGCGCTCCTCACCAAGACCAACCGCATCTACCGCATCTTCGAGCAGGGTGAGGGACGTGGGATGGGGTTCTACTGTGACTTATGGGGCTGACCACGGGTTCTGGACCTCCATGGGGTCCCATTGAGGGTCAAGAGTTTGGGTTGAGGGACGTGGGATGGGGTTCTACCTACCCCGAGCTCCTCACCACAACCACCTCCCATCTACCACGTCCTCCCCCAAGGTGACTTATGGGGCTGACCATAGGTTCTGGAGGTCCCAGGGGTCCAGGAACCACATAGGGGTCCCACTGAGGGTCAAGAGCTTGGGTTGAGGGACGTGGGATGGGGTTCTACGTACCCTGAGCTTCTCACCGCAACCACGCACATCTTCTGTGCCCTCAACTGAGGTGACTTATGGGGCTGACCATAGGCTCTGGAGGTCCATGGGGTCCAGGAACCACATAGGGGTCCCGCTGAGGACCAAGAGCTTGGGTTGAGGGACGTGGGATGGGGTTCTACGTACCCTGAGCTTCTCACCACAACCATGCACATCTATGTCCTCAACTGAGGTGACTTATGGGGCTGACCATAAGCTCTGGAGGTCTATGGGGTCCAGGAACCACATAGGGGTCCCGCTGAGGACCAAGAGCTTGGGTCGAGGGATGTGGGATCAGGTTCCACCTACCCCAAGCTCCTCACCACAACCACCCCCATCTACCACATGGTCCCCCAAGGTAACTTATGGGGCTGACCAAAGGTTCTGTGTACCCCACAACCCCTTTCCTTGCCCCCCCTTTATAGGGAAGCGCTCGGTGACCCCCCCCCGCTTCATCAGCCCCACTTCGCAGCTCGTCATCACCTTCGCCCTCAGCGGGATGCAGCTGGTGGGGGCGGCCCTGTGGCTCCTCCTGCGGCCCCCCCATGCCTTGGTGGACTACGAGATGGGGCGAACCCCCGACCCCGAGGACGCGCGGGGGGTGCTGCGCTGCGACATGGCCGAGGGCGCCACGTTGGCCTGCCTGGCCCACGCGCTGCTCCTCATGCTCACCACCACCGTCTACGCCGTCAAGGCCCGCGGCGTCCCCGAGACCTTCAACGAGGCCAAACCCATTGGCTTCGCCATGTACACGACCTGCGTGGTGTGGTTGGCCTTCGGGCCCATCTTCTTCGGCGCTGCCCGATCGGCTGAGAGGGTGAGGAGGGGACGTGGGGGTATGAAGAGGTCTGGGAGAGGGAAGGTTTGGGGGGGGGGGGGGGGGAACCAGGGCTTTGGGGGGAAACAAGAGTTGAGGGGTTGGGGTTGAGGTTGGATTGGGGTTGAGATTGGGTTGAGGTGGGGATGGGTTAGATTGAGGTTGGGGTTGAGGTGGGGATGGGGTTGGGTTGGGGTTGAGTTGGGGATGGGATTGGGTTGGGATTGAGGTTGGGGTTGAGGTGGGGTTGGGTTGGGGTTGAGGTGGGTTTGGATTGGGGTTGAGGTGGGGATGAGTTGGGTTGAGGTGGGGATGGGATTAGGTTGGGGTTGAGGTTGGGTTGAGGTGGGGATGGGTTGGGATTGAGGTTGGGGTTGAGGTGGGGATGGGATTAGGTTGGGGTTGAGGTTGGGTTTGAGGTGGGGATGGGGTTGGGTTGGAGTTGAGGTGGGGATGGGTTGGGATTGAGGTTGGGTTGAGGTGGGGATGGGGTTGAGGTGGGGTGGGGATGGGTTATGACAGAGGTTGGGTTGGGTAGAAGATGGGTTGTGGTGGATTTGGAGATGGAGTTGAGGCTGGTTTGGGGTTGGGTTGGGATTGAGTTTGGGCTGGGATTGAGGTTGGATTTAGATTGAGGTTGGGTTGGGCATGAGGTTGGGTTGGGATTGAGATTGGGTATGAGGTTGGGTTGAGGTTAGGTTGGGTATGAGGTTGGGTTGGGATTGAGGTTGGGTTGGGTTGAGGTTGGATTGGGTATGAGGTTGGGTTGGGTATGAGGTTGGGTTGGGTTGAGGTTGGGTTGGCGTTGAGTTTGGGTTGGGTTGAGGTTGGGTTGGGATTGAGTTTGGGTTGGGATTGAGATTGGATTGGGTATGAGGTTGGGTTGGGTTGAGGTTGGGTTGGGATTGAGTTTGGGTTGGGATTGAGATTGGATTGGGTATGAGGTTGGGTTGGGTTGAGGTTGGGTTGAGGTTGAGTGGGGTTGTGGCTGGGGTCAAGGTTGGGTTGAGGTTGTGTTGGGTTGGGGTTGAGTTGCGTTGGTTCAGGGCTGGACTATGGGGCTTAGCCTGGACCCATGTGGGCAACTTGGGGGTCACAAGAGAGATTTAAGGGGGTTCCCAGGCACTGGGAAAGAACAGGAGCTTGAAGGCCATTGAGGGGATGGGAACGGGTTTGGGGGTGGGGGGGGGCACAGAGGAGGGATCCAGGGGCTGAGTGGGGCCAAGTGGAACTTGGGGGGGGGCTCCGCCTCCTTTCCCCTTGGCCACGCCCCCCCCCCCCCCCCATAGGTGCACGTGCAGACCGCCACGCTCACGGTCTCCATGAGCCTCTCGGCCTCAGTCCCGCTCGGGCTCCTTTACGCGCCAAAAGTCTACGTCATCCTCTTGCACCCGGAGCGCAACCAACCGCGGCGGCCGCGGGCCGACCCGCCCCCGTAGCCACGCCCCCACCTCCTCCCCGCCCCCTCTAGGCCACACCCTCTCCCGCCCTCAGGCCACGCCCCCTCCCCGTCTCGTCGTCGTTGTTACCCCCCCCAATAAAGCTCCTGACACCGGATATCCGGGACCCCTTTATGCGGGGGGGTACACACGGATACTTGGGGGGCAGGGACCCCTTTTTGGGGGACAGGGACACACTTGGGGGGGTTATGGGAGGGGTAAAAGGGGAGGGAACCAGGTTTATTTGGGGGGAGGACCAGGTTTGTTTGGGGGGGGGTGTTACTTGGGGGGCTTCTGGGGGGGTCTCACCAGCAGCTCCAGCCACTGCGTCAGTGTGGGGCAGGCGAAAGGGGGCTTGGGAGGGAAAAAGGAGTGGTTAAGAGGGGGTAACCCCACAAGTGACCCCCACCAAGGACACTCAATTCCCCCCCACGTCCCCTAAACCTGCCCCATAGACCCCTCAATTGCCCCCAGACACCCCCAAGTGCCCCCTAGGTCCCCTAAACCTGCCCCATAGACCCCTCAATTGCTCCCAGACACCCCCAAGTGCCCCCCAGGTCCCCTAAACCTGCCCCATAGACCCCTCAATTGCTCCCAGACACCCCCAAGGGCCCCCCAGGTACCCTAAACCTGCCCCATAGACCCCTCAATTGCTCCCAGACACCCCCAAGAGCCCCCCAGGTACCCTAAACCTGCCCCATAGACCCCTCATTTGCCCCCAGACACCCCCAAGTGCCCCCCAGGTCCCCTAAACCTGCCCCCTAGCCCGCCCCCATTGCCCCTAGGGCCCCCCCTCCCCATCAGCCCGCAGTCACTCACAGGGCTCGGGGGTGCCACCCCGGGGGGGGGCAGCACGCGGACGGCCCCCCCCTGGGGGTACCCAGGCTCCAGCTCCAGCATCCAAAGGGTCCCGGATGCTCCCAGCACCCGCAGGCGCCTCAGGGATGGATCCCAATCCAGGGCGAACCTTTGGAGGGGGGGATTAATAGGGAAGGGGGGGGGTGTCACTTGAGGCCACCCCCCCGAACCCCCAAACCTACCCCCATTGACCCCCCCCCCCCCCTTTACCTGTGCTGGAGCTGCTCCACCTCGGCCCACAGGGAGCCCCCTTCCCAGCAGCGCTCCTGCAGCTCCAAGAGCCCCGGGCCCAAGGTGGGGGGCAACGGGAAAGGGGGGTCCTGGGAAGGGGGGGGGAAATGGGGAGAAAACCCCACATTGACCCCCTCAGACCCCCAATCTGCCCCCCAACTCCCTCTAGACCCCCCCCCCAGCCCCCCCAAAAGCCCTTTTAGCCCCCAAAGTGCCCCCCCCCCCCCCGGCCCCACTTCGGACCTTTCCCAGCCCCCCAAGTGCTCCCTGTGCTCCCAAACACCCCCCCCCAACCCCCCATTTTACCCCCCAACAGCCCCCCAAGTGTCTCTTACCACGACGTGGATCTCCCCCTGGGGGCTGCAGCGCAGGCGCAGGCTTGGGAGGGAATCGGGGGACCCCGGGGGGGGGCCCAGCTCCAGCTCCAGCTCCGGCCCCCCCGCGGGGGGGGGCAGCAGCACCCGGACCCCCGAAAACACCTGGTACAGGCGGCACCCAGCCTCTGCCCTGCATTCACAAAGGGGGGGCCATGATGGGGGGGGGGCATTTTGACACCCCCCCCCCCAAATCCCACCGCCCCCCTCCCCAAATCCCACCGCCCCCCCCCCCCCCCCCACCTTTGGGCCGCCCAGCGCTGTTGCTGCAGTGCCTCCTGCTGGCTGAGCCGCTCCTGCCGCCTCTGCTCCAGTCGCTGCTGCAGCTGCAATGGAGGGGGGAGGATTTAGGGGGTGCCCCCCCCCCCAAAAGCACATCATGGGGGGGGGAATGGGGTATCCGGACCCCCAGGTTTGGGGGGGGGGGAGGAGGGGGGAAGGGGAGGGCATTCACCTGCTCCTGTCTTCCTCTTGCTTCCTGCAGCTTTGCCTGGAGTTCCTTCTTCTGGGGGGGGCAGCAGCCATGGGACGCCCCCCCCAGCACCCACATCGCCCCATATCCCCCCCCCAGCACCCATGTCATAACACATAGCACCCGTAGCACAGCCATAACCTCCCTCAGCAGCCATATTGTGCCTCACAGCACCCATAGCACCCCTGTATCTCCCTCCCAGCACCCATGTCATACCCCATAGCACTTCCATATACCCCCCAGCACCCATGTCATACCCCATAGCTCCCACTGGACCCCCGTATCTCCCCCAGCACCCACGTCATACCGCATAGCACCTCCATATCCCCCCCAGCACCCATGTCATACCCCATAGCACCCCATATCGCCCCCCAGCTCCCATGTCATACCCCATAGCACCCGTATCACCCCCATATCTCCCCCCAGCACCCATGTCATACCCCATATCCCCCCCATATCCCCCCCCAGCACCCATGTCATACCCTATAGCACCCCCATATCCCCCCCAGGACCCATGTCATACCCCATATCCCCCCCCAGCACACGTTATACCCCATAGCACCCATATCCCTCCCATATCCTCCCCCCAGCACCCATGTCATACCCCATATCCCCCCCCCAGCACATGTTATACCCCATCGCACCCACATCCCCCCCATATCCCCCCCCAGCAGCCATGTCATACCCTATAGAACCCCCATATCTCCCCCCAGCACCCATGTCATACCCCATATCCTCCCCAGCACACGTTATACCCCATAGCACCCATATCCCTCCCATATCCTCCCCCAGCAGCCATGTCATACCCTATAGCACTCCCATATCCCCCCCCAGCAGCCATGTCATACCCTATAGCACCCCCATATCCCCCCCCTAGCCCCCATTCCACGCCCCATAGCACCCATAGGACCCCCCCCCCCCCCCCCCCAGCCCCACATCTCCCCATACCTGTCGCTCGCGGGCCCCCTCCAGGGCCCCCCGCAGCCTCTGCAGCAGCCGCTGCCCCTTCTCGAGCTGGGCCAGGGCCGAGGGCAGGGCCCCCCCCAGCGCCTCCACGGCCCCCCCATAGCCACGCTTCAGCTCCTGCCAGCGGCCCCGCGCCTCTGAGACCGCCTCTCCTGCAGGGGGCGCTCTGATGAGCACGCACCTCCCGGCCAGCAGGGGGCAGCCTCGCGGACCGCCCCATGGAAGGACCCGCCGGGGGGGGGGGCACGGACGGACTCACGCAGGCCGGGGGGGGGCAGGGGGGGGGCCGGGCTCTCAACCAGCCCCAGGAGGAGCTGCAGGACCCGCAGCTGGGCCAGGAGCAGCTTCTGCTTCCGACGGGTGTCCTGGGGGGCAGATATGGGGTAGTTATGGGGGGAAATGGGGTAGTTATGGGGGGGAAATGGGGTAGTTATGGGGGGGAAATGGGGGGCTGATATGGGGGGCAGATATGGGGTAGTTATGGGGGGAAATGGGGTAGTTATGGGGGGGAAATGGGGTAGTTATGGGGGGGAAATGGGGGGCTGATATGGGGGGCAGATATGGGGTAGTTATGGGGGGAAATGGGGTAGTTATGGGGGGGAAATGGGGTAGTTATGGGGGGGAAATGGGGGGCTGATATGGGGGGCAGATATGGGGTAGTTATGGGGGGAAATGGGGTAGTTATGGGGGGGAAATGGGGTAGTTATGGGGGGGAAATGGGGGGCTGATATGGGGGAAATGGGGTAGTTATGGGGGGGAAATGGGGTAGTTATGGGGGGAAATGGGGGGACAGATATGGGGGAAATGGGGTAGTTATGGGGGGGAAATGGGGGCCAGATATGGGGGAAATGGGGTAGTTATGGGGGGAAATGGGGTAGATATGGGGGGGAAATGGAGGTCAGATATGGGGGGGAAATGGGGTAGTTATGGGGGGGAATGGGGGGCAGATATGGGGGAAATGGGGGCAGATATGGGGGGAAATGGGGGCAGATATGGGGGGAAATGGGGTACTTATGGGGGGGAAATGGGGGCAGATATGGGGGGGAAATGGGGTAGTTATGGTGGGAAATGGGGGGCAGATATGGGGGGAAATGGGGTGACAGGGGTAGTTATGGGGGGGAAATGGGGTAACAAGGGCAAATATGGGGGGGAAATGGGGTGACAGGGCCAGATATGGAGCAAATACAGGTGCTATGGGGCAGACATGGCCACAGTGGGGCAGTCATGGGGCAAATACGGGTGCTATGTGGCAGACGTGGCCGCAGTGGGGCAGTTATGGGTCAAATACGGGTGCTATGGGGCAGACGTGGCCGCAGTGGGGCAGTCATGGGGCAAATACGGGTGCTATGGGGCAGACGTGGCCGCAGTGGGGCAGTTATGGGTCAAATACGGGTGCTATGGGGCAGACGTGGCCGCAGTGGGGCAGTCATGGGGCAAATACGGGTGCTATGGGGCAGACGTGGCCGCAGTGGGGCAGTTATGGGTCAAATACGGGTGCTATGGGGCAGACGTGGCCGCAGTGGGGCAGTCATGGGGCAAATACGGGTGCTATGGGGCAGACGTGGCCGCAGGGGGGCAGTTATGGGGCAGCCGTGGGTCTCACCATCAGATGCTCCACAAGGACTGGGACCGGGACATCGCTGTCCTCTTCCTCCAAGGCCAGGGCAGCCTCAAGGGCCACCAGCACCCTGGAGACACCCCGGGGACCCCCATTGGGACCCACGGACCCCATAGAGACACCCCAAGGATCCCCATTGGGACCCATGGACCCCATAGGGACACCCCAAGGACCCCCATTGGGACCCACGGACCCCATAGGGACACCCCAAGGACCCTCAATGGGACCCATGGACCCCATAGGGACACCCCAAGGACCCCCATTGGGACCCACAGACCCCATAGGGACACCCCAAGGACCCTCAATGGGACCCACGGACCCCATAGGGACCCCTTTGGGACCCCCATTAGGACCCACGGACCCCCTTGGGGAGGAGCGGACACCCCATAGAGCCCCATTGGGACCCACGGACCCCATAGGGACACCCCAAGGACCCCCATTAGGGCGCGGACAACCCCCCCCACCCTACGAGCCCCATGGACCCCATAGGGACACCTTTAGGGCCCCCATTAGGACCCACGGACCCCATAGGGACACCTTTAGGGCCCCCATTAGGACCCACGGACCCCATAGGGACCCCTTTAGGACCCCCATTAGGACCCGGACAACCCCCCCCACCCTACGAGCCCCATGGACCCCATAGGGACACCTTTAGGACCCCCATTAGGACCCACGGACCCCATAGGGACACCTTTAGGACCCCCATTAGGACCCACGGACCCCATAGGGACACCTTTAGGACCCCCATTAGGACCCACGGACCCCATAGGGACCCCTTTAGGACCCCCATTAGGACCCACGGACCCCATAGGGACCCCTTTAGGACCCCCATTAGGACCCACGGACCCCATAGGGACCCCTTTAGGTCCCCCATTAGGACCCACGGACCCCATAGGGACCCCTTTAGGACCCCCATTAGGACCCACGGACCCCATAGGGACCCCTTTAGGACCCCCATTAGGACCCACGGACCCCATAGGGACCCCTTTAGGACCCCCATTAGGACCCACGGACCCCATAGGGACCCTTTAGGACCCCCATTAGGACCCACGGACCCCATAGGGACCCCTTTAGGTCCCCCATTAGGACCCACGGACCCCATAGGGACCCCTTTAGGACCCCCATTAGGACCCACGGACCCCATAGGGACCCCTTTAGGACCCCCATTAGGACCCACGGACCCCATAGGGACACCTTTGGGACCCCCATTAAGCCCCGGCCCCCCCCGGTGACCCCCATGGGCCCGCAGCCAAGATGGCGGCCGCGCTGAGGTGATTTCCCGCCCGCGGGCTCACCCCCGCGCGCGCTCCAGCGCCGCCGCCATCGCCGCCGGTTCCTCTTCCCGCTCTGCCCGCCTCGCCCCGCCCACCCCGGCGGCTGCGGCCAATCAGCGCCCGATTGGGGCAGCACAGCCAATAGGAGCCCGCATCGGCAGGCCACGCCCACCCCGTTGCTATGGGGACGGGAGGTTGGCAGAGAGCCCCTCTATGGGGCGCATGGAGAGCATCTATAGGGTCAGGGGGGTCTCCATGGGGCCATATAGACTCTATGGGGTGTCTATGGGGTTATGGGGGGCCTATGGGACCTTATGGGGTAGGGATGTGCCCATATATAGTGTCTATAAGGACATATAGGTCCTATATAGGGCTGGGAGGTCCTTATGGGGCCAGAGGGACTCTGTGGGGCTAAGGGAGTTCTTATGGGGCAATGGGGTCTCTATAGAGACATGGGGGGGGTCCTATGGGGTGGGGGGAGCCTATAGGGCTCTATAGACTGTATGGCGGGGTGTCCCTATAGGGTCTCCATAGGGCTGCGTGAGTTCATATGGGGTTAGGCCTATGTAGGGTGGAAAAGGGTCCCTATGGGGCTACAGAGCCTCTATAGAGGCACAGGGGTCGCTATGGGGCCATAGGGACTGCATGGGGCAGGGAGGGCTCTATAGGGACCACAGGGTCTCTATGGAGCCAGGGGGACTCTATAGGTGCAGGGAAGTCCCTATGGGGCTACAGAGCCCCTATAGGGCGGGGGGGGTCTCTATAGGGTCTGTCCCCCCCCAAGAAAAGCCCCTCGACACCTCCTTGCACCCCCCAACCGGGGGCTCTTTATTCCCCCCCCCTCATCGGCGTCGCCTCCGCACCAGGGTCCAACCATCGGGGGGGGCCGGGGGGGTCCCGCACTCCATTGCCTGGGGGGGGAAGATGACATCATCAGTGTGACCCCTTTAGTGACGTCATCAGTGTGACCCCTTTTGTGACATCATCAGTGTGACCCCTTTAGTGACGTCATCAGTGTGACCCCTTTAGTGACATCATCAGTGTGACCCCTTTAGTGACGTCATCAGTGTGACCCCTTTAGTGACATCATCAGTGTGACCCCTTTAGTGACGTCATCAGTGTGACCCCTTTAGTGACGTCATCAGTGTGACCCCTTTTGTGATGTCATCAGTGTGACCCCTTTAGTGACGTCATCAGTGCGACCCCTTTAGTGACGTCATCAGTGTGATCCCTTTAGTGACGTCATCAGTGTGACCCCTTTTGTGACGTCATCAGTGTGACCCCTTTTGTGACATCATCAGTGGCACCCCTTTGGTGACGTCATCAATGGCACCCCTTTAGTGACATCATCAGTGTGACCCCTTTTGTGACGTCATCAGTGTGACCCCTTTTGTGACGTCATCAGTGGCACCCCTTTGGTGACGTCATCAATGGCACCCCTTTGGTGACATGAGTGTCAACCCCCACTTGGTGACATCATCAATGTCACCCCCCCCTTTGGTGACATCATCAATGGCACCCCTTTTGTGACATCATCAGTGTCAACCCCCTTTGGTGACATCATCAGTGACGCCCTCCCTTTGGTGACATCATCAGTGTGACCCCTTTGGTGACATCATCAGTGACGCCCTCCCTTTGGTGACATCATCAGTGTGACCCCTTTGGTGACATCATCAGTGACGCCCTCCCTTTGGTGACATCATCAGTGTGACCCCTTTGGTGACATCATCAGTGACGCCCTCCCTTTGGTGACATCATCACTGCCCCCCCCCCATCCTAGGAGTGTGTGTCTCCCGTTGGATGATGTCATTACTGCCCTCCCCCCACTGGGGTACCCCCCTTCAATGACATCACCCATGCAACCCCCGATGCCCTGCCCCATTTGATGACATCATCAACCCCATACGCAGCACAGGGGACCCATTCCCCCTATATATCTTGGGGTCCCCGTGAATGACGTCATCAGTGCCCTCCCAATGACATCATCCCCACAAGGCACACCCACCAATAGTGTCCCTGCTCATTCTATGACGTCATCGCCCCCCCCTTACCTCTTCCTCCTCCTCCTCGCTGCTGGTCCCGGTGCTTTGTGGGGCGGGGGCGGGGTCGGGGGCGTGGCCAGGCCGCGCATTGGCCAGCGCAGAGGCGAGGGCGGGGCCACGCCGGGCCAGGGCCGCCAGCGCCTCCCCCACCCCCCCCACGTCCCCCTCCCGCACCCGCGCGAAGACAGAGAGCAGCTCCCGGCTCACCTGGGGGCAACGGCAGGCACTGGGATAGACTGGGACAGACTGGGACAGACTGGGATAGAGCTGGGATAGAGCTGGGATAGAGCTGGGATAGACTGGGATAGACTGGGATAGACTGGGATAGAGCTGGGATAGACTGGGATAGACTGGGATAGACTGGGATAGACTGGGATAGAGCTGGGATAGACTGGGATAGACTGGGATAGACTGGGACAGAGCTGGGATAGACTGGGATAGACTGGGATAGACTGGGATAGAGCTGGGATAGACTGGGATAGACTGGGATAGACTGGGATAGACTGGGATAGAGCTGGGATAGACTGGGATAGACTGGGATAGACTGGGATAGAGCTGGGATAGACTGGGATAGACTGGGATAGACTGGGATAGACTGGGATAGAGCTGGGATAGACTGGGATAGACTGGGATAGAGCTGGGATAGAGCTGGGATAGACTGGGATAGACTGGGATAGACTGGGATAGAGCTGGGATAGACTGGGATAGAGCTGGGATAGAGCTGGGATAGACTGGGATAGACTGGGATAGAGCTGGGATAGAGCTGGGATAGACTGGGATAGAGCTGGGATAGAGCTGGGATAGACTGGGACAGACTGGGATAGACTGGGATAGACTGGGATAGAGCCGGGATAGACTGGGATAGACTGGGACAGACTGGGATAGACTGGGATAGAGCTGGGATAGAGCTGGGATAGACTGGGATAGAGCTGGGATAGACTGGGATAGAGCTGGGATAGACTGGGACAGACTGGGATAGAGCTGGGACAGACTGGGATAGAGCTGGGATAGACTGGGATAGAGCTGGGATAGACTGGGATAGAGCTGGGATAGAGCTGGGATAGACTGGGACAGACTGGGACAGACTGGGATAGACTGGGATAGAGCTGGGATAGACTGGGATAGACTGGGATAGACTGGGACAGACTGGGATAGACTGGGATAGAGCTGGGATAGACTGGGACAGACTGGGATAGAGCTGGGATAGACTGGGATAGAGCTGGGATAGACTGGGATAGACTGGGATAGACTGGGATAGAGCTGGGATAGACTGGGACAGACTGGGATAGACTGGGATAGACTGGGATAGACTGGGATAGAGCTGGGATAGACTGGGATAGACTGGGATAGACTGGGACAGAGCTGGGATAGACTGGGATAGACTGGGATAGACTGGGATAGAGCTGGGATAGACTGGGATAGACTGGGATAGACTGGGATAGACTGGGATAGAGCTGGGATAGACTGGGATAGACTGGGATAGACTGGGATAGAGCTGGGATAGACTGGGATAGACTGGGATAGACTGGGATAGAGCTGGGATAGACTGGGATAGACTGGGATAGAGCTGGGATAGAGCTGGGATAGACTGGGATAGACTGGGATAGACTGGGATAGAGCTGGGATAGACTGGGATAGAGCTGGGATAGAGCTGGGATAGACTGGGATAGACTGGGATAGAGCTGGGATAGAGCTGGGATAGACTGGGATAGAGCTGGGATAGAGCTGGGATAGACTGGGACAGACTGGGATAGACTGGGATAGACTGGGATAGAGCCGGGATAGACTGGGATAGACTGGGACAGACTGGGATAGACTGGGATAGAGCTGGGATAGAGCTGGGATAGACTGGGATAGAGCTGGGATAGACTGGGATAGAGCTGGGATAGACTGGGACAGACTGGGATAGAGCTGGGACAGACTGGGATAGAGCTGGGATAGACTGGGATAGAGCTGGGATAGACTGGGATAGAGCTGGGATAGAGCTGGGATAGACTGGGACAGACTGGGACAGACTGGGATAGACTGGGATAGAGCTGGGATAGACTGGGATAGACTGGGATAGACTGGGACAGACTGGGATAGACTGGGATAGAGCTGGGATAGACTGGGACAGACTGGGATAGAGCTGGGATAGACTGGGATAGAGCTGGGATAGACTGGGATAGACTGGGATAGACTGGGATAGAGCTGGGATAGACTGGGACAGACTGGGATAGACTGGGATAGACTGGGATAGAGCTGGGATAGAGCTGGGATAGACTGGGACAGACTGGGATAGAGCTGGGATAGACTGGGATAGAGCTGGGATAGACTGGGATAGAGCTGGGATAGAGCTGGGATAGACTGGGATAGACTGGGACAGACTGGGATAGAGCTGGGATAGAGCTGGGATAGACTGGGATAGACTGGGATAGAGCTGGGATAGAATGGGATAGACTGGGACAGACTGGGATAGACTGGGATAGAGCTGGGATAGAATGGGATAGACTGGGATAGAATGGGATAGAGCTGGGATAGACTGGGATAGAACGGGATGCACAGGGATAGCGCTGGGACAGACTGGGATAGGGCTGGGATAGAATGGGAAAGGGCTGGGATACACTGGGAGGGCATTGGGGGGGACTGGGATAGACTGGGAGGCATTGGAAGGGGCTATGAGGGGCCTGAGAGGGAACTGAGATAGAGGAGAAGGGCACTGGAATGGACTGGGCTATGCTGGGAGAGGAGTGGGATGCACTGGGGTGACAGGCCTAGGGAATCATAGGTGGGAATTGGGATGGGATCTACTTGCAAAGCAGGGATATAATGGGAGGGGATAGGATATACTGGGGTGGGACTGGAATATACTGTGGGGAGACTGGGAGAAGACTGGTTTATACTGGGAGGGGAATGGGAGCGCTGCAGTGCGTCATCAAGGACCTGGGGATCCACTGGGCTGTACTGGGAGCGACTCAGGAAGGGCCTGAACGCCTCTTGTGAGGAACCGGCAGGCTACCGGTTATACTGGTTTATACTGGGAGGCACTGGCGCGCACCGGGAAGGGATGGGGGGGGCTGAGAGAGGACTGGGAGCGCTAAAAGATGGTTGGAAGAGCCTGGGGGGGGGGATCTGAACTGTACTGGGGGGGGTGGGAGGAGCTAGGAGCCTCCTGGTCCATACTGGTCCATACTGGTCCGTACTGGGCTGTACCTGCTGCAAGCTGCCGTCCTCCACGGCCGTATCGAACTCATTGTCCATGACCTCGGCCAGGAAATCTTCCACCTCATCCTCGGCCAGTTCAGCTGGGGGAAGGGTGGGAAGGGGGGGTACTGGGAGGGAGGCAGCTCCAGTCCACCCCCAGTGCATCCCAGTCCTGCTCAGCCCCTCCCAGTAGCCCCCAGTGTCTTCCCAGTCCATCCCAGTCCCCTTCATCCCCCTCTCAGTGCCTTCCCAGTTTATCCCAGTGCCCTTCAGCTCCCTTTCAATCCACCCCACTCTGTTCCAATGCCCTCCCAGTCCATCCCAGTGCCCTTCATCCCCCTCCCAGTAGCCCCCAGTGCCTTCCCAGTCTATCCCAGAGCCCTTCATCCCCTTTTCAGTCCATCCCACTCTATTCCAATGCCCTTCCAGTCCCCTTCATCCCCTCCCAGTGCCCCCAATGCTTCCCCAGTCCATCCCAGTGCCCTTCAGCTCCCTTTCAATCCACCCCACTCTATTCCAGTGCCTTCCCAGTTCATTCCAGTGCCCTTCATCCTCCCCCCACTGCCCCCCAGTGCCTCCCCAGTCCATCCCAGCGCCCTTCAGCTCCCTCCTAGTGCCCCCAATACCTCCCCAGTTTATCCCAGTCCCCTTCATCCCTCTCCCAGTAGCCCCCAGTGCCTTCCCAGTCCATCCCAGTGCCCTTCAGCTCCCTTTCAATCCACGCCACTCTATTCCAATGCCCTCCCAGTCCTCTTCACCCCCTCCCAATGCCCCCAGTGCCTCCCCAGTCCATCCCAGTGCCCTTCATCCCCCTCCCATCGCCCCCAATTCCCCCCCCCCCCGCACTCACGGTTCTGGCTCAGGAACTCCAGCACCGCCCCCACCAACCACGCGGCCTTCTCGGGGCTCTGCGGGCCCCCGAAGCCCTGAGCCACGGCCAGCTGCGGGGCACGGGCACGGACACGGTCACGGTCAGGGACACCCATGGGGTCCCCACCACCCCCCCGTGTCCCGTTCTCCCCCCCCCCCCCATCCCCGTTCCGCACCTGCAGCGCGGCCCAGCCGCTCAGCACCGCCCGCACCCCGCGCTCCAGCAGCGCCCGCTCCTCCGCGCTGGGCGCCGCCATTGCGACGCCGCCGCAGGGCCCGCGGCCGAGCGCCGAGCGATCGAGCGGGAGCCGAGTGAGGGCTCTCCGCGCCCAATCGAGCGCCGAGCGATCGATCGGGAGCCGAGTGATCGATCGGGAGCCGAGGGCTCGATCGAGCATCGAGTAATCGATCCCCGCGCCGGATCGAGCGCCGAGTGCTCGATCGCGGGGCCGGCGGCCGGAACGAGCCGGCGCCGGGTGACCCAATCGAGCGCCGAGTGCTCGATGGAGGGGCGTGGCCCGGAGCGGGTGGGGGCGTGGCCAACGGCAGAGGCCTGCGAGGACTCCAGCTCCCGGCAGCCCCCCCTGCGGCCGCGGTCACGTGACGCAGGTGCGCGGGAGGGGCGGGGGGAGGGAGGGGAGCGGGACCGTGGGGCTGGGGGGGGCGGGGGGGGGGGACACGACACATGGGGGGTGATATGGGCCCTATAGAGGCTGCTATAGGGGATAAGGGCTCTATAGGGGCTGCTATAGGGGATAACAACGGCTCTATAGGGGCTGGGGGGTGCGCGTCTGGTCTAAGGGGGTGTGGGGGCATAGGGGGGCTATAGGAGATATGGGAGGTATAGGGGATGAGGAGGGGTATAGAGGATGAGGGGGTGCACGGGGGCTATAGGTGCTTCGGGGGGGCTATACGGGATGAGACGGCACATGGGGGGTATAGGGGATATGGGGGGTGGGAGAATATAGGGGCTTTTGGGGCTATTGGAGTATATAGGGGCTATGGGGGGGTCTCTATGGTGTGTAGGGCACATAAGGGCTGTAGAGCCAATTGGGGGTATATATAAGGGGGATATAGGGGGTGTGGGGCACACAGGGGCTATGGAGGGCAGGGTATAGAGCTATGGGGGGGTATATATATAGATATATGTGTGTGTGTATGCATGTGTATGTAAATAGTGCCTAGGGGATCTATAGGGCACCTATAGAACCAGAAAGGGGTGCTTATCTAAGGCACCCATAGGCTCTATAGGGGGATCAACCCCCCCTTAACAACCCCTCTTTGTCCCAACAGGTCCCCCCATGGGGGGGGGGGGGGCTGTGACACCACCACCACCTCCATTGACACCCCCAAAGCACCATTGAGGACCCCCCCCCTTCAAACTCCCCTATAGCTCCATAGGGGGGCACCCCCCCCCCCTCCCCGTATTGAGGTCTATAGGAGCCAACCATGGCCACGGACTTGAGCCCCACCAAAGCCCCCCCAAAGCGCTTCTTCCGCAAGAGCGTGGAGCTGCTGGAGGAGGAGCGGGGCCCCCCCAGCGATGGAGGGGACCAAGAGCTCCGGGGGGGGGTCCCGGGGGGGGGGTCGGGCAGGGAGGAGGTGGAGGAGGAAGCGGAGATGAAGGCAGTGGCGACGTCGCCGGGGGGCCGCTTCCTCAAGTTCGACATCGAGCTGGGCCGCGGCGCCTTCAAGACCGTCTTCAAGGGCTTCGACACCGACACCTGGGTGGAGGTGGCCTGGTGCGAGCTGCAGGTGAGGGCATGGACAGGGGGGACGGGGTCCTTGGGGTTGGGGGGCGATGGCTGAGGTCTCACGTTGAGGTTGAACCCACTTGCGATGACATGGAGAGCCCGAAGTCATCATAGACCCAATGGCTGAGGTCTCACATTGAGGTTGAACCCACTTGCGATGACATGGAGAGCCAGAAGTCATCATAGACCCAATGGCTGAGGTCTCACATTGAGGTTGAACCCACTTGCGATGACATGGAGAGCCAGAAGTCATCATAGACCCAATGGCTGAGGTCTCACGTTGAGGTTGAACCCACTTGCGATGACATGGAGAGCCCAAAGTCATCATAGACCCAATGGCTGAGGTCTCACGTTGAGGTTGAACCCACTTGCAATGACATGGAGAGCCAGAAGTCATCATAGACCCAATGGCTGAGGTCTCACATTGACCCTGAACCCCCTTCCAAAGACCCCAAATTCATCATAGACCCCATGGTTGAGGTCTCAGACTGAGGTTGAACGCACTTGCAATGACATGGAGAGCCCGAAGTCATCATGGACCCAATGGTTGAGGTCTCAGATTGAGGTTGAGCCCCCTTCTGAAGTCAAGGAGACCCCAAATTCATCATAGACCCAATGGTTGAGCCCTCAGATGGAGGTTGAACCCACTTGTAATGACATGGAGAGCCCGAAGTCATCATGGACCCAATGGTTGAGGTCTCACATTGAGCCTGGACCCCCTTCCAAAGACCCCAAATTCATCATAGACCCCAATGGTTGAGGTCTCAGGTTGAGGTTGAGCCCCCTTCTGAAGTCAAGGAGACCCCAAATTCATCATGGACCCCATGGTTGAGGTCTCACATGAACCCTGAGCCCCCTTCCCAAGCCAAGGAGACCCCCAAGGAATCCCAGAGGCTCCCAGCTCCATCATCCCAATGTCCTGCCGGGGCTCCTGCCACCAGGCACAGAGCCACAGCCCACGAATCCCATCCCCTTCCTGCCCCACCAGTGCTCCATGGGGACCTGAAGGAGCTTCGAGGTGGGCCAAAGGAGATGCTCCTTGGCTGTGGGGTGGGTTTGAGGCTGTCCCATGGCCCCCAGGACCGCAAGCTGACCAAGATGGAGCAGCAGAGGTTCAAGGAAGAGGCTGAGATGCTCAAGGGGCTGCAGCACCCCAACATCGTCCGCTTCTACGACTCCTGGGAGTCCACGGTCAAGGGCAAGAAGTGCATCGTCCTGGTCACCGAGCTGATGACCTCCGGCACCCTCAAGACGTGAGTGATGAGGGGCGTGGAATGGGGTGGGAAGGACCTGGACATCACCCAGGTCCATGGGCAGGGCCGCCTTCCGCCGTTGAGGTCTCCCGTTGAGGTTGAAGGCGCTTCCAAAGAGGAGATACCAAAGTCATCATGGACCCAATGGTGGAGGTCTCACATTGAGGCTGAACCCCCTTCCAAACACAAGGAGACCTCAAAACCATCGTGGACCCAATGGTTGAGGTCTCACATTGACCCTGAACCCCCTTCCAAAGACAAAGAGACCCCAAATTCTCTTGGAGCCAATGGTTGAGGTCTCAAATTGAGGTTGAACCCACTTACAATGACATGGAGAGCCCAAAGTTATTGTGGACCCAATGGTTGAGGTCTCAGATTGACCCTGAAGCCCCTTCCAAAGACCCCAAATTCATCATGGACCCAATGGTTGAGGTCTCAAATTGAGGTTGAACCCCCTTCCAAAGAGAAGGAGACCCCAAACTCATCATGGACCCAATGATTGAGGTTGAACCCCCTTCCAAAGACAAGGAGACCCCAAACTCATCATGGACCCAGTGGTGGAGGTTTCACATTGAGGTTGAACCCCCTTCCAAAGACAAGGAGACCCCAAAACCATCACGGGGGCGATGGTTGAGGTCTCCGATTGACCCTGAGCCCCCTCGCAGGTACCTCAAGAGGTTCAAGGTGATGAAGCCCAAGGTGCTCCGGAGCTGGTGCCGGCAGATCCTGAAGGGGCTCCACTTCCTGCACACCCGGACACCCCCCATCATCCACCGGGACCTCAAGTGTGACAACATCTTCATCACGGGCCCCACGGGCTCCGTCAAGATCGGGGACCTGGGCTTGGCCACGCTCATGAGGACCTCCTTTGCCAAGAGCGTCATTGGTGAGCCCCATTGTGCCCAGTGGTGGTGGTGGTGGTGGTGGTGGTGATGGTGATGGTGATGGTTGTGATGGTGCTGATGGTGCTGATGGTGATGGTTGTGGTGATGGTGGTAATGGTGATGGTTGTGGTGATAGTGGTGATGGTGATGGTGGTGGTGATGGTGATGGTTGTGGTGATGGTGGTGATGGTTGTGGTGATGGTGGTGGTAGTGGGTTCCTGGCTCTCACCACCCCATCCCATAGGGACCCCCGAGTTCATGGCGCCGGAGATGTATGAGGAGCGCTACGACGAGTCGGTGGACGTCTACGCCTTTGGGATGTGCATGTTGGAGATGGGCACCTCCGAGTATCCCTACTCCGAGTGCCAGAACGCGGCGCAGATCTACCGCAAAGTCACCAGCGTGGGTCGCCGGGGGGGGTGGTGGTGGTGGCATCTTCATTGTGGTGGCATCGTCATGGTGGTGGCGTCATCTTGGTGGTCGTAGCGTCATGGTCACGGTAGCGTTACCATGGTGGCATCGTCGTTGCGTTGGCATTGTAGTGGCGTCATCTCGGTGGTGGCATCATCATGGTGGTGGTACCACTGTTGTGGTGGCATCTTCACCATCATAGCATCATCACAGTAGTGCCATTGTCATCGTGGTGGCATCCTTACCGTGGTGGTACCATCGTTGTGATGGCTTCTTCACTATCATAATGTCATCGTTGCGGTGGCATCATCATGGTGGGGGCATCATCATTATGGTGGCATCCTAACTGTGGTGGTATCATCGTGATGGCATCTTCAGTATCATAGTATCATCATTGTGATGGCATCATTGTGATGACATCATCCTGGTGAGGGCATCATCATTGTGGTGGCATCTTCATTGTCATAGTATCATCATTGTGGTGGCATCATTGTGGTGGCATCCTTACTGTGGTGGCATCCTTACTTTGGTAGCATCATCATGGTGGTGGCATCACCATTGTGGTGGGGACATCACCATGGTGGTGGCATCACCATTGTGGTGGCTTCTTTATCATGGTGGCATCATCATTGTGGTGGCATCTTCACCACCATAGCATCATCATGGTGGTGTCATCATCATTGTGGTGGGGACATCACCATGGTGGTGGCATCACCATTGTGGTGGCCTCTTTATCATGGTGGCATCATCATTGTGGTGGCATCTTCACCACCATAGCATCATCATGGTGGTGCCATCATCATTGTGGTGGTGGCATCGTCATTGTGGTGGCCTCCTTACCATGGTGGCATCATTGTGACGGCATCTTCACCACCATAGCATCATCACGGTGGTGCCGTTGTCATTGGGGTAGCATCACCCCGGTGGTGCCCCCATCCCGGTGGTGTCCCCACCGCTCCGGTTCCCCCCCTCCCCATAGGGCATCAAGCCGGCCAGCTTCTCCAAGGTGACCGACCCGGAGGTGCGGGACATCATCGAGGGCTGCATCCGGCAGAACAAGGCCGAGAGGTGGGCGATGGGTCCCTAGGAGGGTGCTGGCTGCCCCCCTTGCATGTGGGGCTGAGCGCACCCCAACCCCCCCCCCAGGTTGTCCATCCGGGACCTGCTGAACCACGCGTTCTTCGCCGAGGACACGGGGCTGCGCGTGGAGCTGGCCGAGGACGCGGTGGGGCCCGAGCCCTGCCTCGCGCTGCGCCTCTGGGTCGAGGACCCCAAGAAGCTCAAGGGCAAGCACAAGGACAACGAAGCCATCGAGTTCAGCTTCAACCTGGAGGCCGACGTCCCCGAGGAGGTGGCCTACGAGATGGTGAGGGCAGGGGGGGGGAAATGGGCATGGGGGGTTCCATGGGGCAAGGGAGAACCTCAGCGGGGTTGGTGGCATCGGCTTGGCTTGAGCCACCCTGAAGGTCCACAATGGTTGTGGATTGGGGGGGGGGGGGTTGGTCCCTCAGGACCGTGAACCTCTTCTGAAGCCAATGGCACCCATAAATACGCCCATAAACCCGTCATTGGGAGACTCAACCTCATCTTGAGCCCTTCCAAAGCCAATGGCACCCATAAATACACCCATAAACCCGTCATTGGGAGACTCAACCTCATCTTGAAGCCTTTCAAAGCCAATGGCACCCATAAATACACCCATAAACCCGTCATTGGGAGACTCAACCTCATCTTGAGCCCTTCCAAAGCCAATGGCACCCATAAATACACCCATAAACCCATCATTGGGAGACTCAACCTCATCTTGAGCCCTTCCAAAGCCAATGGCACCCATAAATACACCCATAATCCCTTCCTTGGGCCCCTCAACCTCATCATGCACCCTTCCAAAGCCAATGGCACCCATAAATACACCCATAATCCCTTCCTTGGGCCCCTCAACCTCATCATGGACCCTTCCAAAGCCAATGGCACCCATAAATACACCCATAAACCCTTTACTGGGCCCCTCAACCTCATCATGGACCCTTCCAAAGCCAATGGCGCCCATAAATACACCCATAAACCCTTCCTTGGGAGACTCAACCTCATCATGCACCCTTCCAAAGCCAACGCTCCTCCCAACAACCCCAACGGTTGCCCCTGTCCGTGGTGCTGAAGCCGTGGCCACCCCTTTGCCCCCTCCACGCAGGTGAAATCCGGCTTCTTCCATGAGAGCGACTCCAAAGCCGTGGCCAAATCCATCCGGGACCGCCTGGCCGTGGTCCGGAGGAGCCGGGAGAGGAAGCAAGCCGAAGGTCGGGCCCCCGCCGAGAGCGAGGACACCGAGGTGGATCAGCACGTGCGGCAGCAGCTGCTCCAGCAGCACGGTGAGACCCCCATGGGGTGCCCCATGGGACCCCCGTTGGCCACCCCATTGCCCACCCCATGGGATCGCCATTGCTCACTCCATGGGTCCCCCATTGCCCACCCCATGGGATCCCCATTGGCCACCCCATGGGATCGTCATTGCCCACCCCATGGGACCCCTATTGGCCACCCCATGGGATCCCCATTGCCCACCCCATGGGACCCCTGGTACCCACCCCATGGCATTGCCATTGCTCACCCCATGGGTCCCCCATTGCCCACCCCATGGGATCCCCATTGCCCACCCCATGGGATCGCCATTGCTCACCCCATGGGTCCCCCACTTCCCACCCCATGGGATCGCCATTGCTCACCCCATGGGTCCCCCATTTCCCACCCCATGGGATCCCCATTGGCCACCCCATGGGATCGCCATTGCCCACCCCATGGCATTGCCATTGCTCACCCCATGGGTCCCCCATTGCCCACCCCATGGGATCGCCATTGCCCACCCCATGGCATTGCCATTGCTCACTCCATGGGTCCCCCATTGCCCACCCCATGGGATCCCCATTGGCCACCCCATGGGATCGCCATTGCCCACCCCATGGCATTGCCATTGCTCACCCCATGGGTCCCCCATTGCCCACCCCATGGGATCCCCATTGGCCACCCCATGGGACCCCTATTGGCCACCCTATGGAATCCCCATTGCTCAACCCATGGGATCGCCTTTGCCCACCCCATGGGATCCCCATTGCCCACCCCATGGAGCTCCCATTGCCCACCCCATGGGATCCCCATTGCCCACCCCATGGAGCTCCCATTGCCCACCCTATGGGACCCTCATTGCTCACCCCATGGGATCCCCATTGTTCACCCCATGTGATCCCCATTGCCCACCCCATGGGACCCCTGGTACCCACCCCATGGGATCCCCATTGTCCACCCCATGGGATCCCCATTGTCCACCCCATGGGATCCCCATTGCTCACCCCATGGGACCCCCATTGCTCACCCCATGGGACCCCCATTGCCCACCCCATGGAGCTCCCATTGCCCACCCTATGGGACCCTCATTGCTCACCCCATGGGATCCCCATTGCCCACCCTATGGGATCCCCATTGCCTACCCCATGGAGCTCCCATTGCCCACCCTATGGGACCCTCGTTGCTCACCCCATGGGATCCCCATTGCCCACCCCATGGGACCCCCGGTACCCACCCCATGGGATCCCCATTGCCCACCCCATTGAGCCCCCATTGCCCACCCCATGGGACCCCCATTGCTCACCCCATGGTTGGTGGTCACCCATCACCGCTCACCCTTTGGGTGCCCCTCAGCAGCCGAGGGGCTCTTGGACACTGGACCCATGGCAGATGCCACCAGCAGCCGTGGTCTCCTTGGGTGCTACCAACCAGGCCCCCCCCAAGATGGGGCGTCCCCCCCTTGCGCCCCCCACGTCCCATTACAGGTGGGTCCCAGTTGCACCGCGGCCGTGGGGTGGGGACAAGGGGGTCGGGTCCCACGGCCGTGCTTTGCCCCACAGGTGGAGGGGACATCGATGGACGTCACCGGCGGTGCCACCGTGGTGGGGCTGGAGCCCCCCGGTGGGGACGGGGAGCTGGGGGTGACGCGGAGCTGGGCGATGGCACCCATGGGGCTGGCACGGCCACAGCCAGCACCGGGGGCACCGGGGCCTGGGATGCCACCATCAGGTACCGGGATGCCACCAGCTCCAGGGATGCCACCACTGGGTACCGGGATGCCACCATCAGGTACCGGGATGCCACCACTGGGTACCGGGATGCCACCATCAGGTACTGGGATGCCACCATCGGGTACCGGGATGCCACCATCAGGTACTGGGATGCCACCAGCTCCAGGGATGCCACCACCAGGTACAGGGATGCCACAAGGTACTGGGCTGCCACCAGCTCCTGGGATGCCACCACCAGGTACCGGGATGCCACCACTGGGTACCGGGATGCCACCATCAGGTACCGGGATGCCATCATCAGGTACCGGGATGCCACCAGCTCCAGGGATGCCACCACCAGGTACAGGGATGCCACAAGGTACTGGGCTGCCACCAGCTCCTGGGATGCCACCACTGGGTACCGGGATGCCACCATCAGGTACCGGGATGCCACCACCGGGTACCGGGATGCCACCACTGGGTACCGGGATGCCACCATCAGGTACCGGGATGCCACCACCGGGTACCGGGATGCCACCACTGGGTACCGGGATGCCATCATCAGGTACCGGGATGCCACCATCAGGTACTGGGATGCCACCATCAGGTACCGGGATGCCACCAGCTCCAGGGATGCCACCACCAGGTACCGGGATGCCACCACTGGGTACCGGGATGCCACCATCAGGTACCGGGATGCCACCAGCTCCAGGGATGCCACCATCAGGTACCGGGATGCCACCAGCTCCAGGGATGCCACCATCAGGTACTGGGATGCCACCAGCTCCAGGGATGCCATCATCAGGTACCGGGATGCCACCAGCCCCAGGGTTGCCACCAGCTCTGGGGATGCCAGCGCTAAGTGGGATGCCAGCAGCCCAAGGGATGCCAGCAGGTCCGGAGATGCCACCAGCAAGCGGGATGCCGTTGCCCACCGGGATGCCACCAGGGCCAGGGATGCCAGCACGAAGCGGGATGCCACCAGTCCAAGGTGGTCTGGAGATGCCACCAACAATGGGGATGGCACCGGCTCCACCTGGGATGCCACCAGCCCAAGGGATGCCACCAGGTCCAGGGATGCCAGCATCCATTGGGATGCCACCACCGATGGGGATGCCACCAGGCCAAGTGATGCCACCATCCATGGAGATGCCAGCCCCTATCGGGATACCCCCATCCCAAGGGATGCCACCAGCCCCAGGGATGCCATCAACCATGGAGATGCCACCCACCGTTGGGATGCCACCTCCGTCAGCGGTGCCGCCATCCATGGGGATGCCACCAGGTCCAGGGATGCCACCTCCATCTGGGATGCCACCAGCCATAGGGATGCCACCACCTATGGAGATGCCACCAACCATGGAGATGCCACCATCCATAGGGATGCCACCAGCCATAGGGATGCCACCAACTATGGAGATGCCTCCAACCATAGGGATGCCCTCATCCATAGGGATGCCCGCACCCATTGAGATGCCCCCATCCATAGGGATGCCCTCATCCATAGGGATGCCCGCACCCATTGAGATGCCCTCATCCATAGGGATGCCCGCACCCATGGAGATGCCCCCAACCATAGGGATGCCCCCATCCATTGGGATGCCACCAAGCATGGAGATGCCCTCATCCATAGGGATGCCCCCATCCATAGGGATGCCCCCAGCTCCATCCCCGCTCCCCCTCCCCATAGAGATCCCACCTCCCCATCCCCCCCCCCCAGCCGCCCCCCTCCCACCCCCCGACCCCCCGGACCCAACCCCCTCCCTGCGCGTCCCCGAGGCCGCCTCCACCCCCCCGGACGCCGGTGGCCGTGGGGACCGATGGCGCCAGCGCCGCGCTTCCTGCCCGCGGCCCCGCTTCCAGCTCACCGCGCTCCAGGTCAGTGTGGGGCGGGGGGGACAGGAACACCCCATAGCCCCCTATGGGGACGACGACACCACCCCATAAGTGACGTCCCCCCCGCTCCATGCAGGTCTCCTCACCGGGGGACAACACGCTCGAGTGCCAACTGGAGACCCACGACTGCAAGACGGTGACCTTCAAGTTCGACGCCGATGGGGACGCCCCCGAGGACATCGCCTCTTACATGGTGCCCCCCCCCACACCCCCTGCACCCTAAAACCCTCCCCCCCCCTTGGTCCCATATCCCCCCCCCCCCCAACATTTAACCCCCCCCCCCCCCAAAGGTTGAGGACAACTTCGTGTTGGAGGCCGAAAGGGAGAAGTTCGTGGAGGAGCTCAAGGCCATCGTGGCGCGGGCGCGGGGGCTCCTCGGTGCCCCCCATGTGGACCCCCAGGTGCCCCACGTGCCCCCCCCCCCCCCCGTTCAATGTCCCCTTTGGGTTATCCCATTCCCCCCCATTGACCAACCCCAATGGGGTCTCCCCATAGGTTGGAGCGATGGAGCCGGCGGCGAGCGGTGAGGGATGGAATGGGGGGGGGGGGGGGGCATGGGGGTGGCAATGGGGGGACCCCAGCTCTGAGCACCCCCCATCGCCAACAGAAGGGGCCCCCCAATCGTCCCCTGTGGGTCGCTGGAGGTTCTGCATCAACCAAACCATCAGGAACAGGGAGGCCACCGGTGGGTGAAGGGACATGGGGGGGGACATTGGGGGGGGGAAACATTGGGGTCCCCAATCCTACAGTGACATCAATGGGGTTGGGACATTGGGGGGGCAACATTGGGGTCCCCAACCCTACAATGACATCAATGGGGCTGGGACGCTGGGGGGGGACATTGGTGACCCCAACCCTACAATGACATCAATGGGGTTGGGACATTGGGGGGGCAACATTGGGGTCCCCAACCCTACAATGACATCAATGGGGCTGGGACACTGGGGGGACATTGGTGACCCCAACCCTACAATGACATCAATGGGCCTGGGACGTTGGGGGGGGGACATTGGTGACCCCAACCCTACAATGACATCAATGGGGCTGGGACGTTGGGGGGGGGACATTGGTGACCCCAACCCTACAATGACATCAATGGGGCTGGGACGTTGGGGGGGGACATTGGTGACCCCAACCCTACAATGACATCAATGGGGCTGGGACGCTGGGGGGGGACATTGGTGACCCCAACCCTACAATGACATCAATGGGGCTGGGACACTGGGGGGGGACATTGGTGACCCCAACCCTACAATGGGTTTGGGGTCCCCCCACTGCAGGTCCTGGGGGTCCCGCAGCCCCTCGCCGAGCCCTGGGCAGCTCAGACGCCGGTGGCCCTCAAGCAGCAGCAATGGGGCCGGATGGCGCAGGGCTCCCCACGCCCCATAGCCCAGAGGCCGCTGGCCCCATAGAGCATGGGGTCGGTGGCCCTCGAGGGCAGGAGGAGGCCGTCCCCCAGCCTGGGGTCCCTCGAGGCTTTGGAGCACCCCAAGAGCAGGAGGACCCCGATGGAGAGGGGGGGACGGGGCCCAAAGGCCCCCCCCAAGGCCCCGGTGCTGTGGGGCAGGATGGGGCTGAGCCACCGGAGCCCCCGGGACACCGGGATCAGGGGGGCGGTGAGGCCGGAGCCTGCCATGGGGCCGGGGACCCCCAGCACCAAGAGCCGGATGCGACCCAAGGAGCGGAGGTGATCGGCACTGAGCCCCCCGCGCTGGATGTGCCCCATGGAATGGGGGGTGCTCAGCGCCAAACCCCAACCCCTGCGTGCCCCCAAAGCCCCAAACCCCATAGACCTGGTGACCCACAAGTCCCAGTGCACCCCAACCCCTTGATGTCCCTCACAGCCCCCCATGGACCCAATGCCCCCCAAGTCCCAGTGCACCCCAACCCCTTGATGTCCCTCACAGCCCCCCATGGACCCGGTGCCCCCCAAGTCCCAGCGCACCCCAACCCCTTGATGTCCCTCACAGCCCCCCATGGACCTGATGCCCCCCATGTCCCAGTGCACCTCAACCCCTTGATGTCCCCCATGGGACCATTGTCCCCATGTCCCCACCCCCTTGATGTCCCTCACAGCCCCCCATGGACCCGGTGCCCCCCAAGTCCCAGCGCACCCCAACCCCTTGGTATCCCCCATGGGACCATTGTCCCCATGTCCCCAACCCCTTGATCTCCCTCACAGCCCCCCATGAACCTGCTGCCCCCCAAGTCCCAGCGCACCCCAACCCCTTGATGTCCCCCATGGGACCATTGTCCCCACGTCCCCAACCCCTTGATGTCCCTCACAGCCCCCCATGAACCTGATGCCCCCCAAGTCCCAGCGCACCCCAACCCCTTGATGTCCCTCACAGCCCCCCATGGACCCGGTGCCCCCCAAGTCCCAGCGCACCCCAACCCCTTGATGTCCCTCACAGCCCCCCATGGACCCGGTGCCCCCCAAGTCCCAGCGCACCCCAACCCCTTGATGTCCCTCACAGCCCCCCATGGACCTGATGCCCCCCAAGTCCCAGCTCACCCCAACCCCTTGATGTCCCTCATAGCCCCCCATGGACCCGGTGCCCCCCAAGTCCCAGCTCACCCCACCCCCTTGTTGTCCCCATGGGGCCGTTGTCCCCCCTCCCCCGACCCTGGCACTGACCCCCCCCCCCCCCCCCCATTTCCCAGGGCCCCCCCCCCTCCCGTGCCCCCGGTGCCTTCGCCCTTGGCTTCAGCTGCCCCCGCCTCAAGAACCCCGTGGGGAGGAGGGGCTGGGGCCGCCGCATCAAGACCTGGGCCCGGCGCCTGCGCCCGCCCCCCCCCGCCGGGAGCCCCCCCCGCGCAGGTACCGCCCCCCATCCCCCCGCGGGCACCCATTGGGGACCCCCCCTTTGGGAGCCCCTCCCCCATTGTGACCCCCCCGTTGTGACCCCCCCTTTGTAACCCTCATTGTGACCCTCCCCATTGTGACCTTGCCATTGTGACCGCCTCATTGTGACCCCCCCATTGTGACCCCCCCTTTGTAACCCTCATTGTGACCCCCCGATTGTGACCCCCCCGCTGTGACCCCCCCCTTTGTAACCCTCATTGTGACCCCCCGATTGTGACCTCGCCATTGTGACCCCCCCCATTGTGACCCCCTTATTGTGACCCCCCCTTTGTAACCCTCATTGTGACCCCCCCTTTGTAACCCTCATTGTGACCCCCTCTTTGTAACCCTCATTGTGACCCCCCGATTGTGACATCCCCATTGTGACCCCCCCATTGTGACCCCCCCTTTGTAACCCTCATTGTGACCTCCCCGTTGTGACCCCCCCGTTGTGACCCCCCCTTTGTAACCCTCATTGTGACCCCCCCATTGTGACCTCCCCATTGTGACCCCCTCATTGTGACCCCCACTATGACCCCCCATTTTTGACCCCCCTTTATGATCCCCCTTTGTAACCCTCATTGTGACCCCCTCATTGTGACCCCCATTTTTGACCCCCCCATTGTGACCCCCATTGTGACCCCCTCATTGTGATCCCCATTGTGACCCCCCTTTATGACCCCCCATTGTGTCCCCCCTTTGTAACCCCCATTGTGATCCCCATTGTGACCCCCCTTTATGACCCCCCATTGTGACACCCCCTTTGCAATCCCCATTGTGACCCCCCATTGTAATCCCCCCTTTATGACCACCCCTTTGCAATCCCCATTGTGACCCCCCTTTATGACCCCCCATTGTGACCCCCCCTTTATGACCCCCCTTTGCGACCCCCCCTTCATGACACTCCCTTTGTGACCCCCTTCTGTGCCCTATTTGTGTCCCCCCCCTTTGTGCCCCCCCCCGACCCACAGAGGAGCAGCAGGATCTTGGGGACCACTCTGGGCCAGGTCATTGCCAGGTGGGTGTTTGGGGGGGGCAGGATGGGGGCCTTCACCCCTTTATCCCCCCATCACCCCCATACCCATATTACCCCATAACCCCATCACCCCTATATCCCCCTATGACCCCTATACCCCTCATCACCCCTATACCTCCCATAACCCCTATATCCCCATCACCCCTTTATCCCCCGATCACCCCCATACCCATATTACCCCATACCCCCATCACCCCTATATCCCCCTATGACCCCTATACCCCTCATCACCCCTATATCCCCATCACCCCTTTATCCCCCGATCACCCCCATACCCATATTACCCCATACCCCCATCACCTCTATATCCCCTCATCACCCCTATACCCCATGACCCCTATACCCCCCATCACCCCTATATCCCAACCACCCCTATACCCTCCCATCACCCCATACCCCCATCACCCCTTTATCCCCCCTTTACCCCTATATCCCCCCATGACCCCCCATCCTCCCATCACCCCTATATTCCCCTATACCACTATGACCCCTATCCCCCCATCACCCCTATACCCCCCTGACCCCTATCCCCCCATCACCCCTATACCCCCTATGACCCCTATCCCCCCATCACCCCTATACCCCCCTGACCCCTATCCCCCCATCACCCCTATACCCCCTATGACCCCTATCCCCCCATCACCCCTATACCCCCCTGACCCCTATCCCCCCATCACCCCTATACCCCCTATGACCCCTATCCCCCCATCACCCCTATACCCCCTATGCCCCCATCACCCCTATACCCCCTATGACCCCTATCCCCCCATCACCCCTATACCCCCCTGACCCCTATCCCCCCATCACCCCTATACCCCCCTGACCCCTATCCCCCCATCACCCCATATCCCCCCTATCTCCCCCCCCAGCCATTGCACCCCGAATCCGCGCCCCCCCTCCCAAAGCGAAA